ATAAATTTCCAAAGATACTTGAAGAACAGAAATGCCTAATTCATATCATCGATCAGCAGAAACTAATCGAGGTCTGGGAGGTATATCAAAGAATCCACAAACAAAAGGAGGTATTCATTTAAAAACCATGAAAAATTTAAAAATCAGCAATTTAAACTGTTCGCTCTCTAGGGATTTTATGTGAGACTTCATTTTTAGAAGGAGTCCACTACTATAATTTGACTGGAGACCACCAATGTACTTCTTTAACAAAGATAGGAATAATCATTCCTATCATTCTAATGATCTAGTAATCATCCTAATCATTCCAATCATTTTGAAATGAGGGAAGAAAGGTAATATAAATGTCATACATGTTAAAAGAGAGTAACAAGTTTATACTTAAATTAAAAGATAAATCTTTCCTATTTAACATATAATTTTTTTTATTCTGTGCTTTTGATGTGACACTGAAATATTAATCTTATAGATTATTTTCATCTTTGCCATTCTGAAGAGCTCATATTCAAAATATCAACTTGGCATTTAATACAGTACACTACATAGCAGAGTTTCAAAATATAAAAAACTATACTGTTTTCATATTTTTACTTACTGTCAATAGTGATAAAATTGAGATTAATGTCCATTGCATTAAATAGCAAAATATTGAGAAATGGCAAATTATATAAAATATCTATAGTTTATTTTTTTTTAAGATTTTATTTATTTGTCAGAGAGAGAAAGAGAGAGAGAGCACAAGCGGGGGGGGGGGTCAGTAGGCAGAGGGAGGAGCAGGCTCCCTGCTGAGCAAGGAGCCTGATGCGGAACTCGATCCCAGGATCCTGGGATCATGACTTAAGCTGAAGGCAGATGCTTAATCGACTGAGTCACCCAGGCGTCCCAAAATATCTATAGTTTAGTAAGAGAATATTTCCGTGCTTATTTAGTCCTCCTTCGAAATAAAAAATGATTTTAAGCTTACAGACATCTATACAATATAAATAATACAATAAGGGTGATAATGAGGATGATAAGGATGAAGATATAAATTTGATTGAGCTCTATGTACCATGTATGCTTCTAGGGACTTTACAGGTGATTATAATAGGTAGTTGAGTATTGTATACTTAGATGGGGGAGTCATTGTTTATCAGAACATATTTTGGCACAATCTTTTTGTATAATTTAGCAATATGTGTCAGAATGTTTAATGGTCTTACCCTTGGATTCAGCAAACATCCAAGATATTTTCCCACAGAAATACTAACATATGTGCACAAAGACATATGAGCAAGGATTTAATCTCAGCATTTTTATAATGGCTAAAAAATGGAAACAATGTAAATGTCTAACAGTGGAGGATTAGTCTAATTATGTACATACTGTGGATTAAAATAAAAGATATAGATAAATCAATATTAATTGATATAGAAAGTCTCCATTATGTAGTTCAAGGGGAGAAAAGGCAAGCTAAAAAATAATATGTATAGTAAAATTTATTTTCCTAAAATATCTTTTACATATATATGTATAGATCAAAGTTAGGAAGGTTTTCCTCCAAAATGTTTACCTCTGCATGGCAGACTTATTGATGTTTTTTTTTACTTTATTTATTTCTTTAAACATTAAAAGTATTTCTCTACAATAATCATATAATACAAGTAAAACAAACAAAAAAAACTGTATTTACTTGGGACAAATATGGTTAGGAAAATCAGAATAGAGAAAAAAATGAGGGTAGGAAAAAAGTGAAGACAAAGTGAGGTCAATTTTAGAAAAAGCATCCACTAGAGTCCCTTTACACTAATTTATCAAGTTCCTCCATTCACTCATCCATTCATGGTTGATTAAGCGTGTACTGATTTCCAGGCATAATATAGTTGGACATACAAAGTACAGACATTCATTCATTCAAACTGTATCATGTCAACAACTATTTATGATACATCCACAGATAAGTCAGGGTTTGTCCTAGGTACCGAAATAATATTTACCCTATTGCAATTCACAGTGAGGAGGGCTTGAAAAAGGTGTATCTATGGAACCGTGGAACCACACAGCAGGGCAGCCAGCTAATCTAGAGTGCAGAGTTCAGGGAAGCCTTGTAGGAGATGCTGCCTAGGCTGAACTACAAAAGAGAGTAAGAGTCAAGTGGGCAAAGAAAGGGAGAAAGAACCTCTAGTTTTAGATGATAGATAGATGATAGATAGATAGATGACAGATTTATATACATGGATTATAGTTTTACATATATATATATATAAACATTTTCATTTTTGAATACATAAAGTTAGGGGTGTAAAATGTCCTGATATGGGTCAAGAAAGGCTAATTCTTTACTGTGTTGCATGCATTTAACCCATTAAATCTTATATTTGAGTAATGGTCCAGGAAATGCTGAGAATAAAATTTTTTTTTTAAAAGATTTTATTTATTAGAGAGAGAGCACAAGCAGGGAGAGTGGCAGGCAGAGGGGGAAACAGGATCCCTGATGAGCAGGGAGCCCGATGCGGGACTTGATCCCAGGCCCCTGGGATCATGACCTGAGCCGAAGGCAGACCCTTAACCATCTAAGCCACCCAGGCGCTCCGAGAATAAATTATTTTTTAACTACTGCTAGTTTTATTACAATGTGTTCATTCAATATGTTAGGAAATACAGTAAGCTTAAATTAGAAAAATGATATATATTTAGGTCAAATTCTGAATAAACAGCTAACTGCATGAGCTGACTTTCAGAGCTCATAACATTAAAAAAGTACTCTAGGAGTATAAGCACCATAAATTCAGGTCCCGCCAAAAGAAAAGAGGATGTGAAGGGGCGCCTGGGTGGCTCAGTCGTTAAGCGTCTGCCTTCCGCTCAGGTCATGATCCCAGGTCCTGGGATCGAGCCCCGCATCAGACTCCCTGCTCAGCGGGAAGCCTGCTTCTCCCTCTCCCACTCCCCCTGCTTGTGTTCCCTCTCTCGCTGTGTCTCTCTCTGTCAAACAAATAGATAAAATCTTGAGAAAAAAAAAAGAAACTATAAAAGAGGATGTGATAAGAACACCAAAATCATACACATTTGTAAAAAAAAAAAAAAGTATGATGCAAGCTTCAATATAGCAAGACAACATGATTGTTAATTATTTATAAATACAGCTAAAGGTTTATATGATTCACAACCAGATATGTGCACTACAAATTTTACAGTGAAACCTGAAGATCCAACTCTCAGATTAGCTCTGACTGAGGGGAAGTTAAAGAGGAAATATGTTCATTTGGATAAGATTTATGAGATAAATGAATTTAAAAAATCAGTAGTATGACACATAATTGAGACCTTCAGGTATCCATTCATTTGATCAACATATATTTGTTATATAACTACAATGTTAGTTTCCTTAATCCCCTCTTATCCTACCACAATGTTGATGACACACGAAAGAAAGGAAAAATGGAGACAGGACTTATATACTTATGATATCAACAGAAGGTGACTACTGAAGTTACTGACACATGATTTTGTATTTATTTGTATGGGAAGTCTGTCTCTCTCATTATGCTGAAAGCTTTAGGACAGATCTTTATACTTAACCTTTGTTTCCCAGGGATTAAAGACAGTGCCTGGTACATAGCAAGCATTCAAAAAATACCGAAATGGGGGCGCCTGGGTGGCTCAGATGGTTGAGCGTCTGCCTTCGGCTCAGGTCATGATCCCAGGGTCCTGGATCGAGTCCCGCATGGGGCTCCCTGCTGGGTGGGGAGCCTGCTTCTCCCTCTGCCTCTGCCTCTCTCTCTCTGACTCTCATGAATAAATAAATAAAACATTAAAAAAAAAATACCGAAATGAAGTACTGTAATTTACATTAGCCCAATCCATTCCTTAAGAAATAGAACCTAAATTATCACCACTCCTAACTAATAGCCAAATGACGCCCTGATTACTTGTATATTTACGGGATAATTTCAGGGTCTTTCATAGACATATGGATTCTTCAAAAAGGAAGCCAAATTAATAGTTGACAGTTGATTTATCCATCCACTGAGATTCTGAGTGGGTTTTCTTCTCCCTTTCTTTTACTTACCTTTATTTTTTGTAGGATTTTTTCCCCTAACCCTCCTCAAGTAAAAATTAATTATTCACCCTGGTCACTGTATACAAAGTACAGTCCTGATACAAAGTACAAACATTGGATCCCGCTACAAGCGCCCTGCAGCCATCCTCAAAAATTCTGGCTTCAGTCACAAAACTTGCTATCCTTGGGCACCTGGGTGGCTCAGTCGTTAAGCGTCTGCCTTCCGCTCAGGTCATGGTCCCAGGGTCCTGGGATCGAGCCCCGCATCGGGCTCCCTGCTCCGCGGGAAGCCTGCTTCTGCCTCTCCCACTCCCCCTGCTTGTGTTCCCTCTCTCACTGTGTCTCTCTGTCAAATAAATAAATAAAATCTTAAAAAAAAAAAAACTTGCTATCCTTTTTGTAGCGTTCCTCGGTAGAGGCCGTTTTCTCAAATTTTCAAATGCCTTCTGGAGTCCACCTAAAACCTCTGTACCCATTTTCAAAGACTTCTCTAGGGCGCGCTTCCTAGGTAAATAAACTTTAGTCCTAGGACTCTATCGTATTTCACATCCACGCATGCATGGATTTATTCTTTCAAAAAACTATTTTATACAGAATATAAATTCAAACTCCTAATGATTTATTCGTTCACTCTTTGGAAACAAATCTTCCCCCATTAACCTGGCAGCTCCAGTACTGCAGGTAGTATGTCTTAAAACATCTCTTTTATTGAAAATGTTGACTGAATAAATCCAAAGTCAATTAATAATGCTGTACCTAGGAAAATGGAAGGCACTCCACGAACGAGAGGGCAAAGCCCCGAGCGCCGTAATCCTTTCTATTCTCACTCACTCTCCTAGGGTCCCGGCGGGATCCGGAGCAGCGTGGCGGCGCAGTGGGCGGTCCCCGCAAGCCTCTGTGGGCGTGGCCCCGCAGCCTCGCCCCGCCCCTGGCGCGCGCGCTCCCGTCGCCGCCGGCCCCGTTCCCCTAGTCCAAGCGGCGCGGAAAAGAGACGAGAGGGGGCGGGGCTTGGGGACCTCCTACATCCTCGGGCCGAGACCGGAGGGATGTTCCCTGCTCAGGAGGAGGCCGACAGAACGGTGTTTGTGGGGAATTTAGAGGCCCGAGTACGGGAAGAGATTCTTTACGAGCTGTTCCTTCAGGTATCGTCGGCGGGGGGCGGCGGACGGGCGGGGAGCGTCGAGCCGGAAGCGCAGCCCGAGGAGCGGGCGCACCTGGGCCACCCGGAGCCCGGCCCCCTTCCCGCCGCGTCTTGTACCTAGGTTTATAATTTAGTTCCGTTTTGGCATACCTGCCTCTAGGTGAGCAGCTGGTAGTGAAGTGATATAATATGCGCCCCATCCCCATCCCCACTATAGAGCCCTAGGGGTGGGAGTGACTTGGCTCCCCCCAGCCCCCGGCCCTGAGTAGGGGCTTCGCGGAGACGGCCTGGGCCTTGGGTGTCTAGGGCAAAACAGAAAGCCCTGTCACTACCTTCCTTGAGGTAGTAAGCGCCCTCACGCCTTACATCCAGCATTGGTATAGATTTTAAAATGTTACCGTATACATTACTTACTCCTCCAAACCCTTTGATACGGAGGGTGTTTTTACTCCAGTATGGTAAGATTTAATGATTCGTACAGTCAAATCATGACTATGACCAGTTGATTCCCTGGGCAGTTCCCTGTATTTCATACCAGGAGGACCTTTTGGAAACTTTTCGAGATTTAGGGCCTCCATGAGTAAGTCTTCTGTCCCCTGTAAACACTCACCTATTGTATACATGTAGATGTCACTTCTAAAGAGATCTGCTCTTCCAGCCATTCATCTAGCCATTACACGACAAATACGAAGTAAGATGCTGAACATACAAATTTAAGAGATAACCCTTGGTCTTTTTTTTTTTTTTTAAGATTTTATTTATTTATTTGACAGAGACACAGTGAGAGGGGGAACACAAGCAGGGGGAGTGAGAGAGGGAAAAGCAGGCTTCCCGCGGAGCAGGGAACCCGATGTGGGGCTCGATCCCGGGACCCTGGGATCAGGACCTGAGCGAAGGCAGATGCTTAACGACTGAGCCACTCGGGAGCCCCGCCCTTGGTCTTTTTAAAAGGGGAAATTTAAAATTAATTACCATGATTTAGGATAATCTAAAAAGAGAAGGATACGCAATATAGTGAAGTTGTTTGGAATATGAACTCTAATGTCATAACGTCTAATGTCGATGTGACTTTGGGCAAGTAAATGAGTATCTCAGTACTGCAGTTTCTTTAAATGTTAAATGGTAGTAATAGCATCTACAATGTGATGTGGTGGGAAGATCAAATAAATTAAAGCAGGTAAAACAGAACTGAGCTTGGCATTTCTAAGTGTTTGCTGCTGCTACTGCTACCACTAATAGTGGTACAATTACTAATACTACTAATACTAATGAGAAATCAAGAAAGGAAGACTTCCCCCTATCAGAATAAGGGCACGTTCCAAGGCAGGCAATAGCAAAGCTAAATTTCTAGGACTAGGTAAGTACTACTAGCAGTGAAAAGGGTTCTCTACATGGTTTTTGAAAGGCCCTAACTTTGTTTCTGTCTTCTATTAATTTCAGATACACACAATTTGATCAAGAGAATTCCCCCCAAGGAACACAGTTTCCTTTCCTGGACATAAAACTTTATTATTTGAAAAATACATTTAAGGCTTTTATGCTTACTTTTCTAAGTTGCCATCTTTTAAAATTTGCCCTTTTTAATCTGCTCTGATACTTGTCTTTTCCTATAGTTATTTCCCCCAATATCATTTGAAACTTTCCACTCTAACAACAAAAAAAAATTTTAAAGAAAACAGAAAGAAAGAAAAAACCTTCTGGTTCTTTTTTCCTGAAGGTTTCTCTCATGTTGAGCCTCCAAAAAGGAGGAGGGGAGTTGGTGTAGGGTTTGGGGATAAGCATAAAGGCCCCCAGCACGCACTTATATTATTTCTAGTCAGTAGGAACTGGATCGATACGAGTTGTATGGATCTACAAGATAGATAGATAGATAGATAGATAGATAGATAGATAGATAGATAGATATTATAGATATAAAATCTTCTCATTTTTTAAATAATTTCTACCTAAACAAAATGTTCATCTCTTTTAACAGATCAGGCAACCAAGTATATGTGTTTATTTTTGCCTAGGTCCTTCTGTATTCTGTAAGAATTTGCTAAAATGGGGTGTCTTTTAAAAAGGCTTTTTAAAACACATGAACTTAGTCTTTAAAAAGACTAAAAGTTGATGGGATTGTTACTACAAGCAAGTTTTGTTGAAATTTATCTTTGGAAATGTTTTGGTATACCTTCAAATTTGTAAAATTCAAAGCATTTAAGCATACTCTTTTCATTTGTGATTTCATATATTTAATATCTGTAGTAGAACAGTACTGATTAAAATTGATTTTTTTATTACTGTATATTTATCCTTTTACTAGTCTCTTTCAAATTTCTGATTATCTTTTGAAGTGAAAAAATTAGGTTTAAAGTTTTTGTACTTTTGACTAAGAAATACTGAAGTAGAGATTTGGAGGAGAAAGATAATGAATTCAGTTTCAAATATGTTGAAGAACAGTCACACAGAGGTCTCTAGGAGGCATGAGTGTAAAAAATAGATTTGTTGACAAAGTGGTCCTTGAATCCAGAAGGGAGGATGAGCTAGTCCCTGAGAAAGCAGAAAATGAATTTAAAAAAAAAAAAAAAAAAGACGGAATCTTAAAATGTAGTATCATTTTAAAGATGATAGTTAACATTTTTCTTTAGAATAAAAGCGATTTCTTTATCCAACTCGACAGAGAAAAGTAATCAATCATTAAAAGTACAATTAAAAAGTATGAGCCAGGGCCTGGGTGGCTCAGTCAGTTAAGCATCTGCCTTCAGCTCAGGTCATGAACCCGGAGTCCCAGGATCGAATCCCACACATCGGGCTCCCTGCTCAGCAGGGAGTCTGCTTCTCCCTCTGCCCCTCACCCCGCTCATGCTCTCTCTCTGTCTCTCAAAAATAAATAAATAAAATCTAAAAAAAATAAATAAAAATAAGAAGTATGAGCCATTTACCATTAAATCTTAGTTGTTTATAAGTCTTTGTGGGTGCCTCCTATAATCATTATCATGGGGACATGTAATTTTTTTAGTTGTAATTAATACCTTTTTATAATATTTCACTCTGCTTTTTTACTGTCTTGCTAATTATAGGTTTTACTACCAATACAGTCTGAATATTTTCAATTTATTTTGTTTTATTCCATTTTTTTAATGCATGATGGAATAATATTCTCCCATTGTGGGAATTAGAACCTTTCTAATTTTTCACTCATATAAACAACGTACCTACTTTAAAGTCGTAAACATACTAAAACATTTTTTCCTTTGGGAGTATTTACCAAATGGGGTTATTAGATCAAAACACATGATAAATTAGTTTCTCTTGTCAAAATGTTTAACTCTGACAAAAAAAATTAGGCCGTGCTACAATACAACAGTTTTTTAGGCTCACTCAAACCAACATTAGGTTTGTCATTTCAATTTGTTTTTGAGTTATACACAGTTAATACATATGGAGATAAAATAGTATTTTACTCTTAGATTTAAGTGCTCTCCAAATTATTTTGTTAAACCTAACAGAGGGTAACATATCTTTTCTTTTAAGATTTGGAACTGTTACCTAAAATTTTCTGTTCTTAACACCATGAATGTTTTCTTGATGAGCCAAAAAATACTAGAAAGTGTGATGAAATATGATATTTACTGTTAGGAAAATGCATCATTCGCAGAGCTACATAAAGCAATTATTGCTAACAGATTTATTTTGAAGTCTGAAGTTGAATATACTTGATTTATCTGAGTGTAAAAAAAAATCTTTAGATTTATGAGAAAATAATTTTTAAGTTTTTTATAGGCTGGGCCATTAACCAAAGTGACTATATGCAAAGACAGAGAAGGAAAGCCGAAGACTTTTGGATTTGTCTGCTTTAAACACCCTGAATCGGTGTCTTATGCCATAGCTTTGCTGAATGGAATACGTTTATATGGAAGACCAATTAATGTACAGTATCGATTTGGTAGGTCTTGCCACTGAAGAATCTTCCAAGTGTGTTTTGTTGATGGTGTTGTTCTCAGAGGTGTGAACATTGTTTTCTATATAATGTAAGACCAAAAAAGTGTTCCTTTTGTCTCTGTTAAATTTTCTCAGAATACATGTAGACATTCATAGTGTTATGTGATTAATTAGTATTGCCAATCCTATAGCATCTTTTCTATATTAAAGTTTAAAATGTTCTATCTTAGTACCAGCCAGCAAGTAGCTATGATAGTTGCTATTGGCTGTTTTAAATTAAGCGAATCTAAATGAATTGGGGACACACAGCTCTAGCCTTTAATACATCAAGGCCATTTGCCACTCTTGTCAATGCTAGTGTGTGGTATCAAATACCTACTGTTTGGAAGGTAGAGTGGGTGCCTTAGTCGTTCTCTTGTGAGCACCATACTCTACATTATTGCCCTGGATCTAAGCCCCTGCAAAAGTAGCTGGCCAAAAGCGGCTGCAGAGTGACGCTCAGTCACTGTGGAGGAGAGCTTCCGGACACCAGTGACCTCAAATGTCTTCTCCTACACACTTGTCAAAAACTGATTAGATACCGGAGAACACTGTACTAGTATACGCTACCTCTTTCATGGTTTGAGGGACTGATAGAGGCGATGCTTATGGTGCGGTGCTTGCGATGCTTATGTTGCCTCCCTCCCCTGAGTGATGCGAGCCTATTGACGTATCCCTTGCTTGTTTATTTTTTTCCTCTTATTATACTAAAAACAGATAGTAAGAAAACAGTACCTCATTGCAAAGGAAAAAGGTTTCTCCTTGTGTTTCTTTCTTTTATTTATATTTTTAATGATTTTGCAAAAGTAATTGGCTGTATCATTGCTTTCAAGTACTGTTTGGTTAATTCACACAGACTGGTAAAGTGGGCCGGGATGCACTATGTTCTGACACGTCCCAGCCAGCTGCTTAGCATCCTCTGTAACGTTGCATCCACTTTTGCCAATGCAGTTTAGAGAACTTCTGCATTCTCCACAGGAGGCAGATAACACTAATTTTTGCCATTATTAGTCTACAGGCGTGTGGAATAATACACATCATCTATCTTATGGCCCCATGTCAATATCATTCTTCTGTACAGCCATGGCTTTGGACAAAGCTTGGTTATAATTCAGTCATTTGTCGTAATGTAAACAATCTGTAACTATCACTTGGGAGATCAAAGATATACTCATGTACCTTATATGATTAAGGAATTTTGACCAATGCTACATCCTTTTAGGTTTGGAGTTTCTCTGTGGTTTAACAATAGAACTCCAAAAAATTGTACCATTAAGTAATCTGTTAATTCTTTTTCTTCTATAGGGAGCTCTCGCTCTTCTGAACCAGCTAACCAAAGTTTTGAGAGCTGTGTTAAGATAAATTCACACAGCTACAGGTAATTAAAAATATTTTTTCAAAAAAACAAATATGTTCTTGTACAAGAAATAGTTTTTATATATTCTGAACTATTGTAAAACCTTATTATTTAGACATGGGATAAAATTTAAGCAATTCACTTTTTTCTGAAACGATGAACAGTGGCACGATATTTTGATTTAAAGTTCAGTTTTAATATTTTCAGTAGCAGGTGAGAAAGATTCATATTTCTAGTGTTCTTTATAGTTTACCTTGTGGGCTTTTCATAGATGTTAAATCACTTAAGCTTCCAAGGTGTCATTGTGATGGATCATAGAGATGCTATTATCCATATCTTATACTTGAATAAACAGAGATGCAAAAGGTAACTAGTTTTCAGGGTCATAAAGATGAAAAAGTGATAGTTGCAAGGCTTGAAATTAAGCCTTCTGACATTAAGCCATTCTGTTATTTATTGTACTGCTTTTTAGAACTTCTTTATGATAATTTTCCAAATATTCTAAAATTTTGTATTGGCTGATTTCTTGATGCAATGGTAGCCTCTAAGGACACTGTCAGGCAAGCTATCCTAGAGGTCATGGAACAGAAAGGCCCTGAAACTGAATTAAGATGTTCAAATCACACCATTTATTAAACCAATTTAGAAGACACAGTGAAAAGCAACAGGAAAGATCCTGGATAGTTTGGCACACGTATCATCGGGTACCAGTGCCACTCTTACTTATTCCACATATTATCGATTGAATCTATCTGTAGCATGTCTGACAGGATTCTAACTTATTTACTATCTGTACTGAACATATATTATAACTCCTGCCTGTATCTCCCAAGTGATTTGCTTATTCTGTCCCTAACACGGTTTCCTCACTGTCCTATAAACTACTAGCTTACTTAGAGTCTGTTACAAGCATTTCATCCATCTTGTTTGTTTTTGTCTTCTGCAGCAGAACTGAATATTCTCATGTAAACTAACAGTAACTGAAACTCCTCTGAGGCATAAGCAAATGCCTCTGAGGACTGGCAATCACACAGGCTTATCTATAGGAGAAGTACTGCCTCCCAAATAAAACACAGTGTGTTCCACATCTTCATTCTTCCCAGTATTTCTGTATCAGGGAAATCAGGAGAAATGAAAAAGTAGGTGTTGAGGGGCACCTGGGGGGCTCAGTCAGTTAAGATCTGCCTTCAGCTCAGGTCATGATCCCAGGGTCCTGAGATCGAGTCCCGCATCGGGCTCCCTGCTCCACAGGGAGTCTGCCTCTGCCTCTCCCCTGCTGGTGCTCTCTCTCGCTCTTTCTCAAATAAAAGAAAAAGAAAGAAAATCGTAAAAAAAAACAAAGTAGGTGCTGACATCAAATTACGTGAACTTAAATCTTGCTTCTGCCACTTTATTAATGGTATGACCTTGGACAGGTTATTTCACCACACTCTAACCTGTTCTAAAACAAGGATCATACCTCGAAGATTGTTGTGAGAATCAAATATTGTAATACATTCAATGCATTTAATATACTGGACACATAGCAGGTATTCAGTAAATACTTTCAGCCAATGTTACCAGAAAGGGGGGAATGATTTACTATGTTGGTAGGGGACGTACTATAGACTCATGAATTGAGCCATTTATATGAGAGCTTCCTCTCTTCTACTAGTGGGAAAACATACCTCATATTTCTCAGGAATTAGGAAGAAACAAGCTGTTGCTATTTGGGCAGAGGTAGAAAGACAAGCACTATGAGATATCAGAACTCTTGTATTCTATGTTTATGTTTGACAAACTAAATCATCACATTCTAGAGCAGAAAATCAGAATTATATGTATATTCCATAACAGTACACTTCATTGGTAGTCCCTTATTTTCTAGTATTTGTTACATTATAAAGGAAGAATGAGAATAGGATATAGTGTCCTAGAAGTAATACTTGTGCAGAGAAAAATGGTGTGCATGTTGTATCCTTAGTCTTTCATGGGTCTTTCTTTGAAAAGGATTTTTTATGCTTCTGTTGCCTCTTATGCCTTCTGTTTTTAATAAACAGTTCCCGTATTAGTTTGCTGGGGCTGCCATAACAAATAACCACAAAGAGGTGTTTAAACAACAGAAATGTGTTGTCTCATAGTTCTGGAGGCTAGAAGTCCAAGATCAAAGTGTCCACAGAATTAGTTCCTTCTGAGGGCTCTGAGAAAGAATGTTCTGTGTCTATCCCATAGTGTCTTCTGGTTATTTGGCAGTCCTTGATATTCCTTGGCTTGTAGATACATCACCCAGATCTTCATATGATGTTCTCCTGTGTATGCCTGTCTTTAAATTTCCCCTTATAAAGAAAACAGTCCTATTGGATTAGTGGCTCATCCTACTCCAGTATGACCTCGTCTTAACCAATTACATCTGCAACAACCCTGGTTCCAAATAGGGTCACATTCTGAGGTATTGGGGGTTAGGACTTCAACATAGAAATTTTGGAGTGATACAGTTAGCTCCTAACTTTTCCCAATTTACATGTGATTCATCTCTGTAGACAACGATGCATGCCCTGAGATTCACCTAGGAAAGACGGTGTGGTTTTAGAGAATCTGCATCTGTTTTCATAATGGTGCTAGTCTCGGCACTTCTGCTACTGAGGTTGTATCTTCCCCACTCTGTTCCCCAGTCTAATTTCATTGCACTTTTTGTTTGTTTCTTTACTATCACTTACTCTATACACACGTTCTGGTCTCCTCCAACCTTGTCCCCAAATGAGGCTGTTATATTTTACCCCTTCTTCTCACTGAAAAATCTTTTATCTTTCACATCCTTACTTCCTACATGCTTCTTAAGCCCATTGTTATATGGAAGGTGCTCATTCAGGGGTTATCAAGAACCTTCTGAACAATAGCTTCAATGCTAATTCAGTTTATTCTTTCATAACAACTGACACCTAATTCCTTCCTTAGTGAAATTTACTCCTCCACTGGTTTTTGCGATACCAGTCTCACCACTTATCAATGGGATGTCCGCGTATCCGACTCTTCCTGTCGTTCCCCTGCCCTCATCTTTGCCTCCGCCTTTCCCACAGCACACCTCCTTTCCTAAGGATTAGTAGTATTAGCATTAAAATTGTGGAATGCTGTGGAGCAAGTAGACAAGTGAGGGCTAGCTAGATAATCTAACTAGTAATTATAACTGGAATTTATTAAGTATCTTCATAGAAGCAAATATTACAACACTTATAAATGAAACTTTAGCTCACCACAGTTTTTAAATGAGGAATTTTTATTATCTTAATTCATGGGTGAAAGAAATCCACAAACGTGGATAAACATTAGCAGTCCATTTAGGAAAGAGCATAATTTTTATAGTTAAACAGTAAAGATATCTTCAACAATAAACTGAGGAAAATTTCTATATTTCTTTCACTTTTTATATATATCTGTAGAAGATTGAATGTACCCTTGGTGATTACCAACGACTTGCTTTGCTCTCTTCATACTTAAGTATCTAGTTCTTTATACACATACAACACTGTTTAACATTTTCCTGTCAGAAGGCCAGATGTGACTCTAAATATTGAGATTTCGCTATGTAGCAATTAGTAAGACTTAAGGTACTACTATGTCACTATATTATCAGTATAATATCTGATTACTTGTGTGTATATGTTTAAAGTTAATCTTAACTGAGCTGTCTTAGAGAAGCTTTGTTTTTTAATAACAAAGAGCCTTTTTCTTCTTTTTTTAAGAAAAAAGGACATTTGTGTGTAGGGATTTTAACTTTTTATTAATTTTTCTTTTACCTCCCCAAAGAAATGAAGAAGTTGTGGCCAGATCTTCCTTTCCCATGCAGTTCTTTCCAATTAACAGTGCAGCTTTACCTCAAGAATATTTTTTCTTTCAGAAGATGGTAAGTTTGATATGCCTTTGGTTCAATATGTAATATAATACAGACTGTGATGGAACTTATGTTTCTCAAATCTAAACCTGGGGTGAAGGCAGAAGCTGCCCTTAGCACTGTCTCCGCAATGGCAGTCTGCTGCAACAACCAAGTCATCTTCAACCTCACACCTAGAACTTTAGCGAGTGTGTCAACACAAGATGGGTAGATAGTAGTGATGCTGCATTGTGGTCCTAGTACAATTTGAGCAGAGAGTTCTCATTTAAACTTTAATTTAAATTAGATTCTCAGTGTTAAACTACATTATTTCTAGAGACTCTCAATAATATGGTTCTGGCCTAGAAATCATAATTATGGTCACAATAAGTTAAAGGGGCACTTAGGAAATTTTTTTCTTCCAACTCCTCATTTTATACATAATGAAATTGAGGTCCAGGGGTATTAACCAATAGGCCCAAGACAGTACAGCTTGTTAGTGACAGACGTGGAACATTGTTGTGAACATCCAACATATATGTGAGCTTCAGATTTTTCAAATAGCCATTTTCATTTTGTTAACATAAAGAAAATGGAGAATTTAACTTTTGGAAAAAAATTTTTCTTAGTTACAGTGAGATATTAAGAAACAACCAGTTCTCATCCAAAACTGTCAATATCCTTCTTCCCAGCATTTTTATCCTTGGTAGAGATGAGAAACACACAGACACACACAGGTTTGTGTTTTCTCTATTAATCTTTAATCTACTTTGAATAGTTGGAAATTTGAGTTAAAAACAAGAAAGGGTCTCTCTATCTTAATAGTTGACAAACATGCTGTCCCATACTGTGGCAGTTAGCCACATGTGAGACCAAGGAGCAGAGTTTTTAGTTTTATTTAATTTTAAATTTTATTAAAATTTAAAAGCAGATACTTGGTTCAGTTATTAGAATATTTTTAAGAATATTTGCAGGAGGGGCACCTGGGTGGCTCAGTCGTTAAGCGTCTGCCTTCGGCTCAGGTCATGATCCCAGGGTCCTGGGATCGAGTCCCACATTGGGCTCCCTGCCCAGCGGGGAGCCTGCTTCTCCCTCTCCCACTCCCCCTGCTTGTGTTCTCTCTCTTGCTGTGTCTCTCTCTGTCAAATAAATAAAATCTTTAAAAAAAAAAAGAATATTTGCAGGAACTTGGGTATGTGAATCTACTTTTTCAAATGTAAATTTTAGGTAATCTAAATTCAGATCAAGTATTTTCAGGGAAAATGTTGCATCCACATTGAGATGTGCTGCAAGTATAAAATGCACACCAGATTTCAAAGACTTAGTATGGAAAAAGGAAAGTAAAATAACTCATTAATAATTTTTATGTTGTTTACATGTTGAAATGACAATATTTGGGATTTGGGGGGATAAATAAAACACATCATTAGTGGCACCTGTTTTTTCTATATTGCGGCTACTAGAAGATGTAAAACTGGCTTGTATTCTATTTCTGTAAGGCAGAATCTGTATTGTAGGAAGCTGTACACTACCTTGAATCTTTCCATTAACAATTTAAAGGAACTACCACATTCTTGTTTTGGAAAGTTACTGTCCTAACTCGTGGTTGAGTTTGCCCGTGGTTAGCTGTATAATGCATGTAGACTGTTAACTTTTTCTTGTAACGTTTCAGGCTTGTTTTGCTAGATGATTGTCTTTTTTCCCCAGCAGTGGCATGCCTATAATCCAGCCCTGCAGCTGCCGTATTATGAGATGGCAGCACCGCTTCCTAATAGCACGTCTGCGACGTCGTCACTAAATTGTGCCCCAGATCTGGAGGCTGGACCCAGCTCTTACGAATGGACTCACCAACAGCCCAGTGACCCTGACCTTTATCAGACGAATAAACGAAAGAGGCAAAAACAAACCAGTGACAGCGATAGTAGCACAGAAAACAAGAGAGGAAATGAATATAGCCAAAAATTCCGAAAGTGTAAGAAAAAGAAAAGATACTAGCATTATGTTCACATGAAATTTGCCTACCCTGGTCATCATTTTCTTAAAAGAAAAAAAAACAAACACCTGTATTCTTCTAAATGACCAATCTCGTGGCTTTCTTGTGTTTTTCGAAATATATAATATGACATCTGATTTGCTATTTCATTTTTGTCTTGAATGACAAAAACATAAATAATATAATGTAGTACTTTTTGTAATGGTATTTTTGACGCATTGTCAACAAGAAATATACTTTGAGTTGTTATATTTTAGTACTGATGATGAAATTGCATGAAATTATCAGTCAGAAGTCACTCACTGAGCCCTCGTGGATAAGGCACCCTTGCTCTCCTAGTCTGTTGCCTGTATGGAGTGGGGAATCTTCTGAATGAAACTAGTGCAACTATTTAGGGGTTTCATGTTGTTCCTAACAAAGACGGAAAAGCAGGCTTTAGTTTCCTTTGTGAATAACATTTTATTTTTTATGTCTAAATATATTCATTCTGAGCCTTACTTTCCTACAGGTTTATATCATAAAATGAGGATATCTGACCGTGATACCAAAGGAAAGCTGATTATCATGGGACTAGTTTTTAGATCCTTCCTTTTTTATACGAGTGTATATAAATAGGAATACCTGCCTCTTTACTTCTCACTTAATTGTATTTCATGGAAATTAGTTGGCTAGATCAGTATTTATTATCCACCTCTTTTGCCAACTGGGTTTGAGATAGTATATTTGACATACTTAAATCTTGATAATGAACAATAAATAGAGTGATATTTCATTAATATATGATATTTAATATTTATTATCAAATCAGGTTTCCTGTTTCTGGTACATTTATTTTTAGAAGACATAGAATACATGTAAAATTAATGGTTTATTTGGACACTTTGTTAACTTTGTAGCTCATCATAAGCTACATATGATGCTGCATATGAACTACAAGTACATAATGATGAAAGTATTTATTTACTAAAGCTAATTAAAAGAATCCTGCAAAAGCCTTGCTTAGATACTTCTTTTGCAGGTTGCATAGCACTTTATAGATCTTTATTTAAAATAACAAAGATGTTTTTAGCAAAATGAGTAACTGAATTTAACTTTTGATTATAAATATACAATGCAGTAGAGTTTTAAATATAAATACTAATCCATTTCCATCTGAGGAACATGAAAAATTAAATACTGCTTGATATAGCTTGATCTATATATACTGTATGTACCTGAATAATCAGACTAAAAGAGATGATCTTTTTTTTTCTTTTTACCTTCACATTTTTGCAGTTTAAAAACATTAACTTCACCTCAGCCTTTTTTTCAACTCTTATACCTATAGTTCACCTTAGCCCTACATTATTTCATAGTGATTGGCATTATCAAAAATATGTACATAAGAAATGTCTCTTAGCAAGTAAGAGTGCATATTTGTAACAGAATTACCTTGAAATAACTGCTACATGAACTGAAATCTTAGAACTGCGAGGAATTCTTGCAACTTCTTCCATCACAGGCAGGAATTACCCCGATACCAACTTTAGACCCCGCTACCAACTTTAGACAGTCAGCCAATTTGAGCCAACCAGAAGGTAAATACACCTATTTGCCCTTGCTGTCTTTCATTGTTAAAATAAATAGGAAACTTTCCTTAAAATGTTACTATAATCTACAATTCTATATAATTTTAAATTACCGGTTTTCCCAGTGCTGTGTCTTTGAGTTAAAAATTATATAAATTATTTGCCTTAGAGGGTTTTATTTTTTTTAATTTTAATTCTCCATTCTCAAAATCTATTTTATGTATGTGCACATTCTGTTGTAAATGCTAGGAGAAGCCTGGACTTTGAGAACCAAATAAGTTATCTTTTTATTCTCATATTCACTAATTTTTTAATGAATTTTTATAATGCATCAGGCAGTGGCAAAACCATTGAGAAAAATTACTTAGAATTAAAGTTGGTCAGAAAGGTCAACATACACCCTTGAAATTTTTACTGAAATTATGCATCCTGAGCTATGGTTTCAAATAGCTATGTGTAGCTCTTAAGACGGTTGTCACCTTTGAATTCCTAGCATTAAATGCAATTATTATAAGATTAGCAACAAATTTGTTGACAAAGTTCTGTTGTAATAATGTTATCTGTTTAGAGTGTAATGAAAGAAAAAGTTAAGAATTATTATACTTTCTTTAGTACTGTCCAGGTGCAGGAACATTGTACACTGAGTAGTCAGCCTCTTCCTTTGTGTGGCTAAATACTAATAAATTGTTGGGCAATTAGAAAGTGAAATTTTCATCTCTTGCCAATACAGTACTTCTGAAACCATATTCCCAGACCGTTTCCTCCAGTGCCTACTGAACATTCCCTCCTGGATGTCTCATTAGCAATACAAGCTCAACACTTTCAATATTACCCCAATTTTTTCCTCCCCCAATATTTTCTTCTGTGATCAGTGGGGGCCAATATTTCACTATGGACTGGGTGCTGGAGTGTTGGAACAATTGTTGACCTCACTTCAGTTTCAGTCTCTCTTAGCCCATGCGCCTACTTCAAGATCATGAAGCACTCTTGATGTTAGGCACTTAAGGAAATGAAAATAAGCCCATTTATTGGGACTGAGCAGAATGCAAAGATAAAGGGGATACCAGTTATTCAGCCCCATCTCCATTTAAATATGCTTAAGGACTGGGCATATTCTCCTCAGGGCGGATGTGCCTCATGACACATGCGGCTTACATAGCTGCCCCTGGGTGATGGTGTGGCTGTTTGGTTCCCCCATCTTCCTTGTCCCTAGGAAGAAAGGCTGGAGGAGCAGGGTTGGCTTTTAGAATACCATCCCAAAGAACTGATGGAACATCAGCTGAACTACTCAGGTCTGTAGTCAAAGCTCAGTTAAGTGTCCATATTCTACCTCTATTTTCTATTTCTATACATCCTAGTAAAGCTAGTTACATCAGAATTAAGAGCCTCTCATTAATTTATTTCCCATTAAGAAATGTGAATTAATAGCCTGGGTTTGATTTTGGGTAAAATGAGGACTAATACATAAATCTCTACAGAAACTATATTTTAATGCAGAAAATTCAAAGGACACCTTTTTAACAAAGGATGATGTCTGCTTCTATGCCTCAAGCCTGAGGAAGTTCAGTGAGCACAACTCCAGTTTGCATTAGTGATGATGTTATTTGATCAGAATGGGTCCTACGGGGTCACATGATACCGCAACTGTGGACTAAGTCTATTACCAGTCATGCCCAACCTGCAAAAATTACTTCAGGTGCCTGCAGAAACTGCCTTAGCAGGTGAAATCAAGTAGTCTGTTATCTGGTTCCCTGTAAAATTTCCTTTCCAGCTTCTAATACCATCTTGTTATAATATTAACAGGTTTTATAAGGATTAAGAAACACATGTGCTATTTGCACTGTAATTAGAAAACCTAAACAGTATGTAAGGATAGACAGTCATATATTTCCTGTGTTATAAACTCTGGGAATAGTTGGCACCCAACAAGCTTACATAATATCTGCTGCAAGGAACCTGGATCTAACAACCCCTGTTTCAACCACTTGACCCATTGTTTGGGGAGCTTTGTGAATGAAAACATGCTTTAAATGAATACTGTTGGTCATTCCAACACACTATTTGAAACCTGATAATTATTGTTTTGCTTCTATTTCTATATGAGACAATTAGTAATAACCTGGATAGGAAAATAACTCTCGCCCCAGCTGTTGCCCCAGGCTGATAACAAATCTTCATCGATTTTATCCCACCTCCAGGTTAATCACAAGGGAAACATTGCAGACTCTCCTGCATGCCAATCAAAACCCTGGGAGTTACTCTAGACAGTGCCTTTCACTTCATTTCTAAGTGGTCATTAACTCCTCATTGTGACCTTGTTCAGGTTCTTTTCATTTCCTACTTGGAGTATTCATTAAAGCAAATCAATCAACAAGGAATGATTATCATTCCAAACACAGATTTTGGTGCTGAGGCGACAGCGTCACTGGAAAAGTTTGATCCCAACATTCAAGAGTTTATGATTTTCCAGCATAAATGGACAGTTAGGAAGGTGATTTCAGGATAATGCTACAACAATAGAGGTAAACACAGAATGCAATGATGGGAGGGCATGAGAGTCTCCATTCCTCAAGAAAATTAATCCTGGGAGGAAGAAAGGAAAAGAAAACCTGAATACACACACACAAAAAAAAGGATATCTAGGAGTCCAACAATTTTCTATCCTGACTCTCAACTGTCCTCACATATTTAGCCCTGCTTTTCACCTGTCCTTGGAAGAGTGTCTCCAAGTATTAAATCTGTACAAGTAAAACGGCTTGCCTCTTGTCAGTATCACCCCAACCTCTTAAGGATACAGGAACTTGAGTTATGATAATTTTTTTTAAAAAAATCATGTTCTTATGGAACAGTCTAGTGGAAAGAGAATAAGATAAATAACATATAAAGTTAGATGTTAATAACTGATAACTGCTGAGGAAAACGATTTTTTTTTTACAGGAAATGTTTAGGGATTAAAAACTCAAAGCAGGAGGGAAAGTAAGCCATGTGCATATCTGAGGGAAGAACACCAGGCAGAGGAAACAGCAGATGTAAAGGCCCCATGGAGGAAGCATTCCAGGGAAGAAAGGGAAGGAAGCTCTAATATGGTGGAGGAGGTTGATCACAGGTGAGATGTGAGCAGAAGATAATGGGAACTCATAGGCCATTGTAACAACTTGGACTTTTAATGGGGATGTCTTGTGGATGGGGTGTGGGGACAAGTTCTGACATATCAAGACTATTGAAGTTACCCAGTCAAGAGAAGATGGTTGTTTAGCCTAAAACAGTAGCAATAGAAGTGGTCAGATTCTAGATGTATTTTAAAGGTAAAGCTGACAATTCACTAAGCATTCTAATCCTGGGAAAGAAGGGTCAACAATGACTCCAAGTTATCATTTATTGATATGGGCAAAACTATGGAGAAGCAAGTTTTAGAGCAGGATCTGGAGCAGAATTTTGGACATGTTAATTATGATTTGCATATCAAAAATCTAATAGGAGATATCAAGAAATTTGTATATATAAGTCTGGAGTCCAGGGGAAAGGTCAAGGTTGAAGACTTAAACATTAGCATTATTGGCATATCAATGGTATTTCAAGTCTCAAGACTGGATAAGATCATCTAAGAAGTGTGTGTAGATAGGAGGTGAGCCCCAAGGTCTGTGCCCTGAGTATTGCCAGTATTTTGTACCTTAGGGAGATGAGGAAGAACCTCCCATAGAATGACAAGCAGAATATGGTGTCTGGGAATCCAAGGGAACAAAGTGTTTCCAGAAGGAAGAAATAATTAGTTGTGTCAAATGTTACTGATAGGTCATGTAAGATAGGGACTCAGAATTGGTCACTGGATTTAGCAATGATGCTTCATAAAGACATTTTGGGTGAATGATTCTGGCAAGAGCATGATCAGAGCCGTTTCAAGTGAGGATAGAGGAAATAACTGATGGACTGCAAGAAGAGATAACTTATGCAAGTTTCTTGCTGTGAAAGGGAGGAGAGAAATAGGACCATAACTCAAGGAAGATAACATGATTAAGAGAGATTTTTGTGGGTTGCTTAGTTTTCTTAAAGATCTGGAGAATGCCTAAAATTTTGTTATTGTCCCTTTTCCCAATCTCTGCTGCTAAAATACTTTTTTTTTTTTCAATATGTCAGTATGTCAGGTTTAAAAAAAAGTTTTTACTGATTTTTAAATCCTCTTTTACCTTAAGAAAATTTGCTCTTTGTTATATATATGTAAATAATTTTCCAGTTTATTTTTTCTGTTTTCTTGCCAGAGCAGGAGGTTTTAATTGTCATATAGTTAATATATTGTCATACATATTAGTCTTTCTTATAGTTTGGGTGGTTTTTTTTTTTCCCCCAGAGAGCCTTTCACAGTCAAAGATTAAGAGAAAATCTATTGTGTTTTCTTTTAGAATTTTGCCAAATTCAATTTTATATATAAATCTTGGATCATGGAGTGCTTTATGAGGATATGAAGATTAAATGTTTAGATTTTTGTACAACATAAGCAGTTTTGAGTTTCTTTCTGAATGCTTGCCTGAAGGTTTTTTTATATTAAAATAGCAATGGTGTTCCTATGTTAGGTAATCCTGTAGAGGATACAGTCCTGAGGGAAGGAGTGAATTTTCCCACTGACTGAATTTATTGCCCCCACCCATTGTAATGGGAGTGTGAAACAAATTAAGTTGAAGAGGGTGCCTGGGTGGCTCAGATGGTTAAGCGTCTGCCTTCGGCCCAGGGTCCTGGGATCGAGCCCCGCATCGGGCTCCCTGCTCCTTGGGGAGTCTGCTTCTCCCTCTGCCTCTCTCTCTCTCTCTGTCTGTCTCTCATGAATAAATAAATAAAATCTTAAAAAAAATAAACAGTACAGTCAGCAAAGGGCTCGAATAAAGTAGATTTCGTTTCCGCCTGAGGTGACAAGGTAAAGTTTATGAAAGTGGTGATAAATTTAGAACAATGTGTGGTATTTTGAAACATCCAGAATGAGGACGTTATTTCTCAGCAAAATGAACAGTTTAGAGGTAGGAAAGTGACAACGTAATCAGAATATGGCCAGTAAAATTAGAGGAATTTAAGGAACTGAAGTAAGATACAGTTGATGGCATTTAGAAACTTAAAAGTCAACTAAAATTTAAGTCAGGGGAATCTTAAGTAATAATATGACACACTTTAAAACAGCCTCGGAAATATGTCTGCTGTCAGCAAAAATTTTAAGAAAAAAGTTGAATGAACCTCTAGGGAAAGTAAATCGTCAGCTGTTAAGGAGCAGGGTTTTCTGAAAATAACCCACATACCTACTTTGACAAGGAGCTAGCCTAAATAAGGATTTCCTACTGCTTCTTCCAGGCAGAAGGGTTAAACTCAAGCTCAGTTTCCTGGGGACAAGGGGCTTCCTCCCACTCCCCCACCCCCACAAGGGGCGCTGCAACTTCCCCAGGTCTTCAAGCTCAGGGCAGCACCTGCAATGGCCACCCAAACTCACAGACACACAACTTCAGCTTCTCTGAGGGAATATTGGGAGGATGGCAAACAGTGCCTTCTCTTGTCTTGCTCTGTGGTTCAATGGAGTCTCCTCTTCAACCCATCAATGGGACGGTGAGAAATTCATCCTGAGTCCTATTGCAAGACACTTGGTGACTCCAAAGTGACCCATCCAACAGACATCAAATTTTAAGCTATTTTTTGAAACCAAGGACACAAACATTAAGAAAATGGATCTCTTTTCCAAATTATCATGCTATAATTTATTTTCCTTTATAAAGACATTTGAGTTTAACTTCATAGGAAGAAGTGGTATATGTGCAAGACGGATAGCTTGAATTACCAAGCTAGATAGCGTTAGGAAGAAAACTTTCCTCTTACCAACTTAGGCGTAAGTAGTCTGGGGCCTGAAAATTAAATTGACAAAGGTTAACTAATTAATTTTGGTTAAATTATTTCTCTGAATTAATGCCTTTAAGAAAAGTTTAATTCACATGCACGTGGGAGCATAGTATAAGGACTGACTCCTCAAATTGCAAGGGACAAAGAGGGCGCCTGGGTGGCTCAGTTGGTTAAGCGACTGCCTTCGGCTCAGGTCATGATCCTGGAATCCTGGGATCGAGTCCCGCATCGGGCTCCCTGCTCAGCAGGGAGTCTGCGTCTCCCTCTGACTCTCCCCCCTCTCATGCTCTCTCTATCTCATTCTCTTCTCTCTCAAATAAATAAATAAAATCTTTAAAAAAAAAAATTGCAAGGGACAATGGTTTATATGCCAGCTTAACAAACAAGGGGGGTTGGTGGGTTAGGGCTTCAGTGGGAAAGTGTGGAAGGTTCTGTTGTTCGCATATGTTTACATGTGCTTTCATCCAGGTGCTGATGGGCATCTCCTTCCTGGCTTGCAGCTCCCCCAAAGGGGTATTTATGACAGCTGAACTCTCATTTCCAGGGCTAAGGAGCAGTCTTCCCTCAAACAGGAAACCCCTTCCGAGGAGGGTTTATGGCTCCGCTTAAGTCAGCAAAGGGAAGTTAGATAAGGTTTCTTTCTGAGAAAGGCTGCTATTTGTTCAGATGTTTTCAGTTTAAAGTTATCCTCATACCACTCTGGTGGGTTATTGGTCCCTTTAATAGCAAATACGCTTGCTTGTTTATATTTATGTAAGGAACCCAATACTACATTAAAAAATTTAAGCCTTTCTTAAATGGTGAAAATTCAGTAACCCTGAACTGCATTTACTATGAGCTAAGGCATTTTTGGTTCAACTAACATATGCCTCTGTATGCATATCCCTATATCGTACTACTTTTATGTTCAAATACGTGTGAAATACTTTGGTCTGAAAAATTGGCATGTTTCCTTAGCCAGAGATTCTTAAATTCGTGATTATATTGCTTTAAAATTTAATTAAAATCTCCTGAGCTTGAAACCTCATCCCTAGGCAGTGGCAAAGCTCAGGGCCATGTCACAAGATTTTGGAAAGCAAATCAGACCAGCCACGTGGCCGAATTTCCTCCCTCAGAATACGTGCACACAGGAAGAGTCTGATCAAAATAAATGTCATGTTCAGAAAACAAGATAAACTGCAAAACATCAGCCTATGGGTTGTACGTGAAATTGGGAGTGGGGCGGTTACAAGCCGTTTCCTTGATGGAAATCTCAGGTCTGTCTTTCTCACAAACCGGTACCACCTCCACCTTCTACCTACAGATTATCCAGCTGCCCACACAGCAGCTTCTTCCCTCCTTGTCCCCCAGCAGCAAGTAGGAACCTTATGAAAGAATTGTGCAGAATATCTAAGGTACTTTTCTGAAGAACGCTGCAGATAAACTCGCTGAGCTGCTTCAAAGAACTAAATTTTCAGGCAATAGTAAGAATGTTCTTAATTCGTTAATCAAACTTTCTTTGTTTACTGCTAAAATAATACTGGATTTGGGGAGTAGGAATGAATGAATGAATGAGGAGCTGAAACTGTACAAGGTTAATAATAACTACTATGGGGGCGCCTGGGTGGCTCAGTCGTTAAGCATCTGCCTTCGGCTCAGGTCCTGATCCCAGGGTCCTGGGATCGAGCCCCACATCGGGCTCCCTGCTCCGCGGGAAGCCTGCTTCTCCCTCTCCCTCTGCTGCTCCCCCTGCTTGTGTTTCCTCTCTCGCTGTGTCGCTCTCTGTCAAATAAATAAATAAAATCTTAAAAAATAATCATCATCATCATAATAATAACTACTATGTATTCAGGCCATTGCATGCCAGACTTTAGTCCTGAGGAAAACAGCCTATAAATGAAGAAGCTGAGGTTCACTCAGTTGACCAAAACACATCTTTTTTCTGCAGAGAAAAGCTAGAATATAAGTCTGGTGAGGCCTGACCTGATCCAGTGCTCTAAATATTAATTACCACACTGTTGGTACTAAAAATTTACTTGCAGGATCTATAATAACTGGTCAGAGCTTTTGAATGAAAATTTGTAAACAGGTATCATAATTACCTCATGCTAGGATTGATGTCATTGTCACTTCTATGTATAAACCTGGGCCCAATGGTCAGTGTGACTAAAAATGAGGCTCTCCGTAAAGACTCTGCCCTAACTTAGGATAAATTTAAAATCTATTAAAGTTACTCTGGAAAAATTCAATGGCGGCTTTCCAACACTGTTCGGTGTAAGTGAACCATTTTATGACAAAACTGCTTTTTTTATCCTTTGATACCCTAATCCTATTTCAGTTCTATTTCCCCAAGTTTCAGTTGTCTTTTTCCATAGAATATGCACCATTTAGGAAATATAAGCATGAGAAATTTTATTTAAAAATTTTTATTGTGTAGTTGACACACAATGTTACATTAGTCTCAGGTATACGACATAGTGATTCAACAACTCTATACGTTTTGCTATGCTCACCATACAATGCTATTGCAACATCACTGACTATATTCCCTAAGCTGCACCTTTTATCCCCATAAACATGAGAAATGTTAAATGGATTAGTTGAGTGTTTGTGTGTGTGTTGAAGAAGACGGACATCAGTAGCAAAAAATTTAAAAGAATTTTTTAAATGCAAGAAAACCACCTCCTGCAAAGATGAGTGACCATGAAAAGCCACCTTCTTAATGAATTTTAAATACTTCACTTTTTGTGTTTGCTTGGTTAAATTTTTATGTCACTAGCTTAAAGAAACCTGAAATTGCAGCATATTGACTACATTGAGATTTGAAAGGTACGCTATAAAGCAGGGTTGTTGCCCATAGTGTGGAGCTGTATGAGGTTAATAATCATAATAACCACTATTTATTCAGGTTACTGCATGCCAGATGTTAGTCCTGAGGAAAACACCCTATAAATAAAGATGTGGAAATTCTCCCTGGAATTGTTAAGTTCAATATGAAGGTCTATAAAGAGTCTAGTCCTCCATTTTGGAGTTCAGGAAACTGATTATGTCCGCACACATATTGTGGATTGCCTCATATTAAATAATCTCATTGAAAGACCAATCCTCCCTCACCATGATCACATTGTAACAGCCATTTTGATAAAAGGACTCTTGTTTCCTTAGTCATAGATGTTTAGAGCAGCTACATGTATAAAACGCAACCCAAACCAATCCTTGTCACTTCCCACTTGCGGTCAAAAGTGCTTGGTTGGGATTGGCACCCAATCTGACTGAGGTGGCTCAATCACGGTCTCTTCTGCTGGAAAGTACAAAAAGGAAACACAAGTGGCTTATTCAAAAAATGAAAATTTGGGAGCTTTCTATTGCTGGCTTTTCATCTTGTGGGTAAGGAAAACAGATGAAGTCCTTTACAGAATAGAACAACATGGATATGTGGAGAAAAGCAGAGACAAAAGAGAGTAATAAAGACATCTGAGACCCTCATTCAGAAAAATCTACCTAAGCCCCCTGTAGTTTTACAATAAACTCCCTTCTTTTGCTTAGGTTTTCGATTTATATTCTAAATGATGCACTCTTTAAATCCAAGCATTTATTGGAAAGTTAAGGACCCTAGGTTTCGCTGGTAGTGATCTGTGTTAAAATCTGGGTTCCCTCACTTTCTGTTGTTACTCAGGGTGAGTTGATTAGCAGTTCTTGTTTTGGTTTTCTCTTCAGAAAGATTTTGCTAATTTACATTTCTATCAGCAGCATTAGGTCAGGCTGCTATAACAAAGTACCATTGACTGGGTGGCTTATAAAGAAAAGAAATTTATTTCTCACATTTCTGGAGGCTGGGATGTGCAGAGTGCCAGTATGGTAAAGTTCTGGTAAGAACACACTTCCAGGTTGCAGACAACACTTCTCTTTGTATCTTCACATGGCAGAGAGCGCAAAGGTGAAGCAAGCTCTGTCCTGACTCTGAGGGCACTAATCCCCTTCATGAAGGTTCCCCACTAATGACTCATCTACTCCTAATCATCTCCCAAAGGCCCAACCTCCTAATACCATCAGGGGTGAGGTTTCAACATATGAATTTTAGGGGAATACAAACATTCAGTCCATGACAGTATGAGACAGCGAGCTCATTTTCCAACAACCTTACCCTCATTCAATATTTAATTTTTTTTATAATTGCCAATCTAGTAAGCCAAGTATGCTATTTTTTCTGTTTAAATTTTCATATATTTTGTTATAAATAAAATTTATGAAGAAAAAGAACGTGAGCCCTTTTTCTAACTTACTGATCATTTCTAGTCTGTGTGAATTAAGACCTTTGTCCATTTTTTTCCTCATATTTTTCTTAATTATTTTAAGGGGGTCCTTATATAGAAGGAATATATTGATTAACATTTACAATTGTTGCAAATATTTCTTTGTGTGTCATTTGCTTTCAGGTTTGTTTACGTACCTGTGAGCTGGAGAATTTAGCTTGTACTCAAGTCTACCATTTCCTCCTCTATGGTACCTGCCTTGCATGACATTCTCAGGAAGCCTTTTTTTACTATTAAATTATGTGACTATTTCCAGGTTTTCCTCTGGCATTTTATTTAATACTTAGCATTAAAATATAAATCAAGGGGTGCCTGGGTGGCTCATTCGGTTAAGCGTCTGCCTTCAGTTGGGGTCATGATCTCAGGGTCCTGGGATAGAGCCCCAGGTTGGGCTCCCTGCTCAGCAGGGAATCTGCTTCTTCTTCTCCCTCTGCCCCTTTCCATCCCCCCCCCGCCAACTCATGCTCCATCTTGGTATAAGTTAAGAATCTAACCTTATTCATTCTCCATATGGTTAGTTAAAATGACTCCTTTGTCAAATAATAAATTCTTTCTTGTTTGTGTTTCTGTGCTTTTTATTCTATTCCATTGAACTATCAGGCTTTATACAAGTACTACATTGTTTTAATTATTCTAGCTTCAGAATATAAGATTCTATCTCCACAGCATTTTGCCTCTCCATAAAACATTTAAATCAATAAAATTTTATTGCAGTTAAAAATTTTTTTGTGCTTGTTTTATTGTACTGATGTAAAATCGTTTAAATTCAAGAACTACTTGCCGGTGATTAAATAAGGAAACTGGCAAAATAATCACCTTGAAGGATTAATTTTTTTTTAAAGATTTTATTTATTTATTTGAGAGAGAGAATGAGAGAGAGCACATGAGAGGGGTTAGGGTCAGAGGGAGAAGCAGACTTCCTGCTGAGCAGGGAGCCCGATGTGGGACTCGATCCAGGGACTCCAGGATCATGACCTGAGCCAAAGGCAGTCGCTCAACCAACTGAGCCACCCAGGCGCCTTTGAAGGATTAATTTTGCTTTGGAATTCCTTTCACCTCTTTTCTAATATGATCTAAAATATCCACAGAATTACTTAAAGTCCTGGTAATTTATTTGAAAAATATATATGTAAAGTCTGCCCTCTTGTGCCAATGTAATTTACATTTTGTCAATCACTCCAGTTTTAAGTAGTCTCTATGATGAAAAGGATAAAACAGAATCCGTATTTTTGAACATTTTATTTGAATGTGTCATTAGAAATAAATAATAAGGGCTCCTGGGTGGCTCAGTCGCTAAGCATCTGCCTTTGGCTCAGGTCGTGATCCCAGGGTCCTGGGATTGAGCCCCATATCGGGCTCCCTGCTCAGCGGGAAGCCTGCTTCTCCCTCTCCCACTCCCCCTGCTTGTGTTCCCTCTCTCGCTATCTCTCTGTCAAAAAAAAAAAAAAAGAAAGAAAGAAAGAAATAATAAGATGGGGCATCTGGCTGGTTTAGTCGGTTAAGCAAAGAAGTCTTGATTTCAGCTCAGGTTATAATCCCAGGGTCGTGAGACTGAGCCCCTCATTGGGCTCCATGCTCAGCAAGGAGTCCACTTAAGATTCTCTACCTCTTTGCCCCTCCCCCCCATAAAGAAAGAAATCTTTAAGAAAAGAAATAAATAATAAGAGAAAGTGAACAATCTAAAGTTGCTCTTTTTTCCTTTCTTTTTTCTCTCATCTTTGTTGATAGCTCTTGTATCGAGAAATTTTTCTTCTGCAAATTCTTTGCCATTTATAAAAATGTGTTAATTCTATTTTCAGTGGTATTGACACATAATACTTAAAGAGGACTAAACATCTCATGGTCCTTAAACATATATTTCTATGTCAGAGAGGTGTTTCTCCATGGAGAGCCCTCCGATGGCATGGTCCTCTAATATCCACAACCAGAAAGAGCCTAATCCGAAATCCAGAACTGGGGACAGTTTTGCTCCTGGGAATGAATATAACATGACCTCCAGTTAAAGAGCAGAAAATACTAGTGTTATTGGAGATCGTCAAGCTGGAAGAGACTTCAGAAGACCGCAAGGCTTTGAAAAATAATAAGGAAATTGTTATTGAAAAGTTTGGAAACATAGCTTCCTGTCATAATGTAGAGAGTAAAGAGGGTATTTAATGAATTCATGGATCTAGCTGGAGAGATTTATAGGCAGAATGTGGAAAATTCCAACAGGCTTCTAGCTTCCTATAATTAAATACAAGATGGAAGGGGGGATGGGAAGAGGAAGAGAAACTAAAGAAGGAACTATACAATTTTCATTTGGATTTTAAGAATTTAGACAAAATATAAAGGGTCCAAGGATTTGGGGGGTTGAAAATAAAATTGGTTTTCATCCTCAGCTATTCCCAGAAAAAGATTCTCAAAGAAAGAAATAGCTTTAGCACATATAAAATCCAGCACACTAAAAGAGACTCAGGGTAAGGATTGCAAGTGTGTGGCTTCTATAAATCCCTTTGCTGATACCTCAAAAACAAAGCAAAGCAAAACAACACAAAAGACTAAACTCATCCCTCCTAGGGCTCTACAGGATGCCCCACAGCATTCTTATTGTTGCTCTTGGCCCAAGGTCTCTCCTCTAAGAGCCTGTCTCAGGAAAGAAAGAAAGAGAGAGAGGGAGGAGAGAGAGAGAGAGAGAGAGAGAGAGAGAGAGAGAGAGAGAGAGAAAGAAAGAAAGAAAGAAAGAAAGAAAGAAAGAAAGAAAGAAAGAAAGAAAGAAAGAAAGAAAAAGAAAGAAAGAAAATGGGAGGGGGCGGAAGGGGAGGGGAGGGAAAGGAAAGGAAAGGGAAGGGAAGGGAAGGAAAGGAAAGGAAAGGAAAGGAAAGGAAAGGAAAGGAAAGGAAAGGAAAGGAAAGGAAAGGAAAGGAAAAAAATAGTGTGTGTATATGGTTTATGCTTAATATCATGGATTTTAAAAGTACAAAATAAGAAGTCTTTGGACTTTCCCAATTTACTATGGGCAGGAAGCAGGCTGAGAAACTCACTTTGTTGCAAAAACTTGACTATCCCGTCTAGATAAGGACCCAAAACGCAAAACCAAGAACTTAGAAAGCAGTGCTAAGAGCCAAGGAGAATCATTCCCAGGAGCAAAACTCCCCAATTCCGTATTTCACAATTACTAACCCCAGTAATTGCTGCACCTCTGATTCCGTCCCTATTTGAACTGGGGATCTTACTACACTTATTTTTGGCTCACCATCATGTGCTGGTAGAAAAACTTTAAAACTGTAGGGGCACCTGGGTGGCTCAATCGGTTAAGCCTCTGCCTTCAGCTTAGGTCATGATCCCAGGATCCTGGGATGGAGCCCCGAGTCGGGCTCCCTGCTCGGCGGGGAGTCTGCTTCTCCCTCTCCTCTGCCCCTCCACCTCCCCCTGCTTGTGCTCTGTCTCTAAAATAAATAAATAAAATCTTAAAAAAAATAACTTTAAAAAGCTCTCTTTAGCGGGCGCCTGGGTGGCTCAGTTGGTTAAGCAACTGCCTTCGGCTCAGGTCATGATCCTGGAGTCCCTGGATCGAGTCCCGCATCGGGCTCCCTGCTCGGCAGGGAGTCTGCTTCTCCCTCTGACCCTCCCCACTCTCATGTGCTTGCTCTCTCTCATTCTCTCTCTCTCAAATAAATAAATAAAATCTTTAAAGAAAAAAAAAAAAAAGCTCTCTTTAGCTTACAGTTTATCCGAGAGGGAGGAACCATGCTCCAGGAGCCAAAGAACCTCACCCATGCCTGGACCTGAGTTAGATGATGACCACCTGAGCCTGATGCTGTACCATGAGAACCCCAGGGGTCACAGGAGGGGCTGAATGTGTTTTCTCTATAGTCAGAGGGCAGGCAAATTCTCACACAATAAAGATGACCGTAAGTTCTTTGGCACTCTCCTCATTGAGTTAGGGGGTGTTTGTCTCTTCCCCTTGAATTCTTAATGGGCTCTCTGACTGCTTTGGCACATAGAATATGGATGAAGTGATTAAGTGCCAGTTTCTGGTTCCTAAACCTTAAATAATTAATGGTTCCACTTTCTGTATCTTAGAATACTTACAGTTGGAGTCTTGACTCTCCCTGTAAGCAGTTCGGCTGTGGGGACGTCCTGAGATAGGGAGAAAAGCACAGATGAATCTAACCTTCCAACAATTCCTGCAAAGGCCAGGCATCTGAGTGAATCCATTTTGGACCCATCAGCTGAATGCCACCAAAATGACTCCAGCCAACACCACAGGGAGCAGAAGAACTTCACAACTGAGCCCTGCCTACATCTCCTACCCACAGAATCATAAAATGTCATAAAATGTTTTGGTTTTTAACCACTTAGGTTTTAGCCACTTTGGAGTTGTTTATTGGCCTGTCATAGATAACGGGAACGTTTCAGTGTGAGACATCTCAGTCTGTGGCTGGTGGGACACACTGAAAAAGCATTCATATCATTTTAATACGGAAAAGAAGAACTACTGTTTCCCTTGATCTTCTTGGGGTGAAGATGGCCTCAGGGGCAGGTATTGTCCTTTCCCCATACAATACATTTTTCCAGCACCACATTTACTGGATTTGTAAGCTTTATGAATTTTGGAGTTCAGTAACTGGAGACTATAGATATAATATAGATATAATACTCTACATTTTCCTCCCAAGCTTTATTAATAAAGATTGTTATGTTTTGGTCACTCCTTGTCTTCTCATATCTTTGAAATTCAGATGGAGCTATGGGGGGATATTTTTTCATCCCTCTCTAAAGTAGTTCTGCCAAGCCCAATTTCCAAACTTTTAATGCAATCAGATTGGTTTTATTTGTTTTTAAATACTAGTGAAATGGAGAGGAAAGAGCTGATTTTTTTTGTCACGTTCCATTAACCAATGTAAATAACTTTTCCATATGCTCACTGAAAAATTTAAATGCATTTCTGCAGTCAACCTGCCTTTAATCTTTTTGCAACATATCTGTTAACTGGGGAGTTGAGATCTCCATGGCACCTCTCCCTCCTTATGGTTAGAGAGTGAGGAAAATTATAGAACTTCAACCCTTACAGTTAATCTGTAAAATTTTTAATGCTCATTTAATTTAAACCATAAAAAAATCCCATTTAATCATACGCTATATCCATAAACAGATATGTTTAAAATCTGGTCTTAAGAAGTCTTGGGAAATCATTTGCTTTAAAGCTGTTCTAAGAATTTTCATATTCTGCTTATTGTTGACTTTCGGTGTCTTCTCTGAGCTGGCCATCTGTGAAGCTATCTCTTGGCCTTCTTCCCTCACAACTAACTCTGGTCATTGCAAGCCACACAACCTAGAAAACTTCAAATCCATTTTAATCTTCTCAGGTGGAGTAAGATTACAAAAGCTCTGTTTATCTCACTAAACACCTTTCATTTCTTCACATTTCATTCAGGGAGACAAAGTAGTCTCCTCCCATCTTCTTTCTAAATCCATCCTGTTTATTCACAGTGACGGTCATGCAGATCCAGCCTTGTTATTCTCAAGCTAACTCCAAACATCTAAGTGGTTTTAGGCTCCCCAATATTTCCAATAGCTATTAAATAAGAATCTAGATGTAAGAAAGTGTAAAATATAAGGTATTCCTTAAATAAGAATCTGGATTCTCTAGCTGTTTTGTGATTCAGAGTTCTACATCCCTCAGTAGACTAGATTATTTTGGGATTCCATCCAAAGGGACAGCTGTGTACTGACAA